ACAGTGACATCTCCCCAGAAGCCTCTCCAAGGGTCTAAGTGTTGATCTGGGATCCCTTGTCCTTGCTGCACTTCTTGAACATTGCACAACTGGCTCTTGGAAGTACATCAGATAGTTGAAAGAGCTGTTAGAAAGACCATGGGGGAAGGTGGAGCCTGTTAGTGATGTGGAAGAACCAGTTTCATTTCTTGCAAAAGGTTCAAACCATTTCTGCAGCAGCACTTTGCCCTGCAACCATGGACTGCACCCTCCTCCCCACACTTGGGGTGACACCTCTGAAAACTCATGACAAAAAGTGTCACATTTGGCATAGATATGGATGCCACAGCTTTAAAAAATGCAATCTAGTGTCAAACCACTACATCTAGTTAGGGAACAGCTTCCCTGAATTTATTCTGCAGAAAGACTGGAAGAGAAAATAAGTGGAGAATTAGAGACCTGGCAATGACTGGTGGGGCTGGTGCTTGCTGGAGTCCTGAAGTCTTTGCTCACATGCCTTTCTCCTCCCCAAGTGAGCACATATTTGTTCTGTCATGCTGTTACTCCTATAGAAAAAGTAAAATCTGTCCTGTTCCAGTGACTCCTTGTGTTCCCTCTCAAACTTGCCTCGTATCTACTGTCTAAATTGTCTAAGACATGGGCTATTTTTGGCCACTGAGCAATACTTCTGCACAAGGTCCACATCTATTACTGGGTTTTACTTATCACTGGGGGAAAAAAAAAAAAAAAAAAAAAGCAAAAAAAGCTAAAATTTAAACTTAGGAAATTATTTTGGTTTAGGGTGGCAGGAAATATTTTAATGTGTTTCTCCAGCAATTCATTTACTGAGGCGAATGACAGATTCTGCAAGTCTTGACTTCTGGGGCTGGGATTTGGCTCATTTCTTGGGACATCTTACAGCAGGTGCTTACACATGGGGGTAGTTCTACAGGCTAGGCACAAACAAATTGTGCTGCTTGGCTTCCAACAATCAGTGCAGAGGAGGATAGGCCTCCCATAGGTCCTGTGTCACAGCTATTAGCTCTTTGTAGGTGTCTCCAACACCGTTGGGTGTCTCAGGTCATGGCAGATACCTGTCTTTAGGCAACCAGAGCAGACTGTGGGTGTTCCCATTCACGCTGCTGTCTGAGCTCCTGGCAGAGTCAAAGGAGATCTAGTTGATGTGATCCATGGGGTTTGAAGAACTATTCAACTTGAGTGGACACCTGCATTTGATGGATGAGTCTTTCTAGACTCCTTTTATCTCCAATGTGATGGGATGAGCTCAGATGGAGACTCTTTGATGAAGTCATAAATGATGATGTATTCAAGTGTGCAAACTGACCCTTACACTGCAGACTCCTGGAAAAACAGGTTTTCTCATACTTGGGTTCCTGGCCATGGTACAGGAGCATGTGTATTTCCACCCCTGGGGAGGGGTTAGGGTTAAGGGAGATCTACTGCCCTTAGGTTGTACAAATCTATTCATCAGTTCCATTATCTGTTTTGGAGACATCATTACCAGGGATCCTCTTACCCAATTTTTAGTCTTCTCCTGCATTTTGAAGGTTGTGATAGTACATGTGCAATGTGAGCTTTAGCACAGGTCTGTACAATAAGCCTCTGTGAGGTATGTTGCTAAGTTTGTCAAACTTTTGGTTAAAATGAGAAGATAACAGAGAAGAAATCTTGTATTTTTCAAAGTTTAGATCAACAGCACAAGCTGCCTTTCAAACATTCAGAACATATTTTTTATATATAGTTTATTAGTTGTTCCATGCTGAGAAAATCAAAGTCCACAAAATAAAAATACCAACCACCACATCTCATGTAAGACAGGTGAGGGTGGTCATGAAGAAAACACAACAGTGATGGGGTCCCTGTGGCCACAGCTTCTTCCAGTGATGGTGTTTTGCTCCCAGGATGAATCCTGCTGGTTTCCACTTGCTCTGCATGTTGTATTGAAGGACCAAGCCTCAGATACAAACATTTCCCCAAAGGGTCAACAAGCCCTACCAAGAGGTAAAGTGTGGCTCAACTGAGAGTTATAACTTCCTGATAAAGGACAAATACAACTCACTTGCTGGACATGACCTGGGTTCAGACTCTCTATGTAGACATTAGTAGGTAGGACAATTAAATCCCATGAGACTTGCCCAGCCTGTAACCCACTGTTGCTTACAAGCCCCTTACCTGCAGTGTGTCTCTCTTGATTTCCAAGAAACAAAGACAAAATATGGAGAAAGAACCAAGTTGGCTAGGGAAAGGACAAAAAACCACAACTCTGCTCTTGCTATCTGCATAAAAATGTGCATGCTAGGAGCAAATAAAATATTAGCCTTCCCCAGTGAAATTCCCTGAGCAGGACAAGCCATGCCAGCCTAACCACAGCTCTCAGCAGAGGGATGCTTGCAATAAGTAACCTGCATCAACCAAATGAAGCAGAAGAGCTTGGTAGAACTGCTTGCAGCTTTCAGAGCAACCAACAGGTGTGAAAATGTGTCATCTAGTGTGTAAATACAGATTGTCATTTGCTCCCATACCATATAACAACATGTCATAAAGCATTACACATCCATCTTTATAAAGGTAGGTAGTACGAGTAAGTCCTATTCCAACAGGAATTAAAAAAGCCATGGGAAGTGTAAGTATCAAGGCTATGGAGTGAGAATAACTCAAGAGGAATACAAGCCAGTAAATCAGTGATATATACACTCTATCACAAAAATAGAAAACTACACTAAGATCTTATGCCTCCTGAATTCTGAGGAAGGATTTAATTCCATTCTGCTTTTGATATATGCCATGTAAGGATCTATAGCTAATCTGGTTGGTCTGAGCATCATTTACAGTCAATGCAGAGAAATAGGTGCCATTAGACCATGAGTTATTTTGCCTGTATATACACATATATATATATACACACACGTATATGTGGCATAAGCAAATAAATGTGCCCATACGTACATATATATAGGCAATAAAGTAAGATGGACTACTCTCTAAAGGGACTTATTCCTTCCAATTGTCAGCCACAGATGCCTGCATTTTGTGAGATGAATCCCATTCTACCAGGTTGAATAAGGCTAAATTGTGGCAGAAGAATATTCAAGCTCCACAAATTCCTAGTAACATAAGCAGATGACAGGTACAGTGTAAGCTTGAGTCTGTTCTAAAAATGCCTTTGCATTCAGTTCTCTGGTGCTCTGTAGCTATGAAAGGAGCTGTCAAATTAATCAGCTGCCACCATCTGCATAATCCTCTGAACTGCAGGAGTAATGTTGTAACTGTTGTGGAAGGGGCTAGTCCAAAAGAATTGGGAAAAGGAGAGTGACAATGAATGTATGTGTATCCTGAACCAGGAGGGAGTCCAGTAACATTTTCTGCTTATGTGCAGAGGGTAAATGGGCTTAATTTCTTTTTTTCCAAAAGGAACCGAGTGAGGAGGAGAAAAGTGTGGCTGGGTTTGACCTGTCTGGGTGGGAAGGGATGGGAGGACTTCAGAGGCCCAGCATCTGTCTTTTGTGGGAAAGGTGATGTGTGGGCTGTAATGAGAGTCTCATCATCTAACATGCCTAGGTGAGCAGTACATACGTAGGCATGGTCACCTGGGAGAGGCTGCAGTTGTATCAGCAATGCATCTGCTACATGGTAGGAGGAAGAGAAGCAGTTTCTTTCTCCATCTGTCCATGATGAGATGCACTCTCTCCATCCATACTCTGTCAGTGGAAAGTCAGTCACTCTGTCCCCACAGAAATTGAGTTGTAATGTTTTCTGCCTCCTTCACATGTTGGACTTGAGACTCCAGGCTTCGTCCTCATTTCCACTGCTGATCTTGGACTTGCTGATACGATCTGGTTTCTTCTGTGGCAATTCCATGGACTTGGATCTGAGCAATGCAATTCCCTGAGACATCTTCTCAACAGCAGGAAAAAGACTTTACAACAGCTGAGAAGTGACAGGTTTTCTATGGCTTCTACATTTACTATAAGAAACCACAAAGTACTTTCTGCAGATGACACCACTTAGTATCTCAATAACTATTTCATTTGATATCAGCTATTTCATTACTTTTTCCACCAGAGAGCCAGTGACATATAGATCATCCTTGACACTTTTTTACTTATCATATTCTCAGAAATCTCACAATGGCCCAGAATATCTGCACTCTGCTTGACCATCTTCACTAAAACATGTTTCAAAGCATTGTCTGTACGTTATATGGCTTTGCCCTATCATGAACTCACACACGCACATACACAAAAAAAAACCCCTGCTGATGTGCTTTCACCACATTCTCTTTTTCAGGAAAATCCCCACTTGGCAAAGAAGCAGAGCCCGTCAGGAATCAGGAAGGAACATGAAGGGAAGTGGGTATGAGATTTAGCAAAGCAGGAGGAGAAAAGCAGAACTCCCAAGTGTCAAATAAGGACACCTTGGATTAACTGGGCTGGGGAGTGTGTGAACAGGAACAGTCTTTGTGTATCTCAGTGTAGTAAGAGGAACAGTGAGGAGGCCAGACTAAAATAAATCTGAAGTTGTCATGACACAACTGAGGAATCAGGGGAATGAAGGATGATTAATTACTTGGCCGTGGTAGCAGATGCTTCACTAGACTTCACCAGGTTAGTGAGAGAGAGAACAGGATTGACTGTGTCATCTATTTGAAACCAACATATTTGCATAATTAACCTTAATTTCCTCATGGGATTAATTTTCTACTTGTTACTTGAACTGTCATTCTCAGTTCCACAATGGCTGGGACAAAATGTGTTTTTTGATTTTAAAAGCTCTGAGTCTTCCTTTTCTGCTGCCAGGATTTCATAGCTGAACCAGACATCCCAAAATCCAGCGTCATTCATTTAATACCAAAGAAGGTATTCAGAAATCTAAGGAGTGCAATAGTGAGATGGCTGATCTGAATGAGCTCTTCCATTGCTAGGAATTTATTATTGTTATTTTTTTCAATTTTTTAAGGGTTCACATTTTCCTGGTGCCATCCATATTCTCTGTTTGGTGAGTCATCCAAAGACAGCAGGATTGATAAGCAGAACAAAAAAGATGGCTGTTGAAAGAGAAAATCATCACAGTTACCACTCAGTTTTCTCTGTAATTATCACAGAATCACAGGGTTGTTAGAGTTGGAAGAGACCTCTAGAGATCATCTAGTCCAACTCTCCCACTGACGTAGGATCACCTACAGCACATTACAAAGGACTGCATCCAGGTGGGGTTTGAATGTCTCCAGAGAAGGGGACTCCACAGCCTTCCTGGGCAGCCTGTCCCAGGGCTCTGCAACCCTCACTTTAAAGAAGTTTTTCCTCATATTTAAATGAAAGTTCCTGTGTTCCAGCTTGTGCCTGTTATCCCTCATTCTGACACTGGGAACTACTGAAAAGAGGCTAGGTCCATCTTCCTTGCACCCACCTTTTAGATACTAGTATACATTGATAAGGTCTCCCCCCAGCCTTCTCATCTCCAGGCTGAACAGCCCCAGCTCTCTCAGCCTTTCCTCAAAAGGGAGATGCTCCAATCCCTCAGTCATCTTCATCACCCTCCTCTGGACTCTCTCCAGCAGTTCCCTGTCTCTCTTGAACTGGGGAGCCCAGAACTGGGTGTAGTATTCCAGCTGTGACCTCACTAGGGCAGAAGGGGAATTCTTGCCATTTCTCTCTATGGGAGAAACAGGCAAATCCTGAGATAGGGGGTCATGTTGCCCCTATGCCCAGAGGCAAGAGTTCCTCCATACTGCCCCATTGCTTTCCTCCTGGGACAAACAGGACCCAGTCAGAGAGGACATGGGCAACTAGTGAGCAGCTGTGGCTGAATAACCAGGGGCTACTGATGCTGTGGTCTCTGGCATGATTTGCAACACTCCTCCCTCCCTTTCTTTATTTCACTCCATTACTCCTTATTATAATGTCCACTCCAGTTTTCAGCAGCCTCCAACTGGAATCAAAAGCCCTTGTACAAAGTCTTGAACATATGCATAGTAAGAGACAATTTCTATTTTAGCAGCTAATGGCTGAATGGAAGATAGGGAGGGGGGAAAGAAAATATCTTCAGACTGATATAAATGCATCAATATAACTGTGAGAAAATATTTTATTTGCCCATCCTTTTTTTTTACTCCTTTGAAAATGTGAGACACATCACTTAAATATTTACATTTTTATTTTTTTTCCAGTTGATGTTACTCACTGAATTCACAGAATGTCTCAGAGAAAGAATATGAAAATTTCTTAATTTAAAAACTAAATTTTGTTTGGTCTATTTTCTTTCACATCCCTTATAAATCTTTGAAAACACAAAAGAAGTCTATAAACAGCTGAAATGGTCTCTATTTACACTTTCTTTACTGTCAACACACCCAGCATTTGGATAGAGATGTATTATGAGATATATTTATTAGCTTTTATAAGAGATGGATCTCTCCAGTAGTACAGCAAATTGAAAGTAACTGCTCTGGGGATGGGGTGAAGTCTGAGTCCAGTTAAGAAAATGGCATACCTGTCACTGGCAGTGTCACAGATGAGGTAAAGGATGGATGAGTTGAACCTACAAAGGGAGAGAAATCTTTTATTTCGTATCAAATTGCTCTTCTGGTGATGTGTCAAAGCAGTGACAAGGACAGAGTCAGGCTGGGTCTGACAGCTCTCCCTCTGCACAGCTGACTTAATGGTTGCCATATTGTTTCCTGGCCATCAATAGGTATTTCCAGACTGGATAGCAATGTATGTGCTGATCTAACATCTGTTAATGGAAGGTATGAAGTGAACATGTAGATGTGGTGCTTAGGAACACGGTTTAAGCTCTGGATATCTTAGAGTTAGGTTAGTGGTCAGACTTGATGATCTTAAAGGTCTTTTCCAACCAGAATGATTCTGTGATTCTATAACTGTATCTTCCATGTCAAGGGATCCAGCTAAGGTCTTTATCTTGTTCTAATTGGGAAGGGTGACTGTCCCAGTGCTAAACCAGGATTTGGAAACATGGCTTCCAACAGGACCTCTGTAAAAGTCTGCCCACAGCATCCCCCCACCTCCGTGGTGGCTGGAAGGGTAACAAACACCTGGGGACCGGGTCCTTCCACCTACAGTAGTTCTGCCTGGCACTGAGACAGCCCAAGAGCCTCAGTGCTACCACAGATACTTGGGAAAGGGGCTCTGGTTTATCTCTGCATCCTGAACTCATACATTGTAGAACTGGGAGAGGTGCCTTCCAAACAGGTGGGTAATTTGAGAGGGACAGAGGTCATGAAGGTTTTTGGTTGGGTGGTTGGGTTTTTTTTGCATTAAAGCATCTAAAGGCATAAGAGCAAGAAAAAGAGGTTCTGTAGTCTCATTTGAGAGCCCTGCTGGCTCCCTGAGCAGTGAAACTCAGTGGTGCATGTCCTGCTGCATCTGGGTCTTTAAAGATGACAATGCAATGTTGGTTGGTTTTTTTGCTGTCTCTTTGGTCAAAACAACAACCTGGGTGTTAAATTAAGAATGAAGCCACATTACTCAGGTTTAGCTACAGAGTAGCTAAGCTTTGTATTCTAAACCCTGAGCATCAGGAAGGATGCTTAGATATACCTTCTGGAGTACCTTAAAGTGAAGTGCTAATAGGTGACCTATACCTGACAGGAGGAAGGAGAAAGACTTACTCTCTTTTTTTCATCTCAGTATGTGACAAGCGTGGCTTTATCTGCTCACAAGCTCCTGCAATTTTGCAGTTAGTATGAAAGGACACCCAAGACAAAGTAGGATGCAGCAATGTCCTCCCCAGAGATGTCATCTCCACCAGTCAGAGATGACATCTCCATCAGTGTCAGAGCCCTGAGGACTCTGATCTCTCCATCCTGAACCCCAGGCAGATTGTTCCTTAGGATTGCTGTGCTGAGTTGGGGGGCTCTGGGTGCTGCATGAGGAGGTCATGACACTGATGTAATGCTAAAGCAACCATCTTACCTGGCTCAGTAGTCTGTGACTGCCACTCATTGCTGCAGCTGCTGTCATTGGTGCATTGTATGTCAGGGGGGGTCCAGATGATTTTGCCATTCACCCTCTTACACATGAAGGTGCCAGAGGTGGGGCATCGCTTCTCATAACCACTCCAGCATTTGAAATGTAGTACTTGCCCCACATAATAATAATGTTTTTTCTGGCTTAATGAGGCATGGGGAAAAGCCTTGGGAGGACCACAAAAATCTGAGGGATCACAAGGCAGCACATGGTTAGAGAAGAGAGATTTTACCTACTGCTTTTTTAATTGAAACAACATGATTTACATTCTTATAAAACACAAGTAAGCAGGATACACCAAGCTTTCCTCATTCTCTGTTAGGATAAAAACAACACATTCTCTTACACCATATCCCTTGTTCAGTCAAGATACTATAGCAATTGGGGTTTTTTCTCTCTGACCACTGAAAGAATTAAAAATTACTCATTGTTCTTACACTGCTTCTGTGGAAATCAACTGGAAAAAGTGTTAACGTGTGACTGTGCTCTTATTTACCTTTCTGGCCAAACTCTGAAATGTTTCCTTGCTTCTGGGGTGCAGGACTCTGTCTTTTTCTTTCTGGCTTCTGTGTAACATCTGACTTCCTCGTGGGAGCCATTGACAAAAAAGTTTTCTTTTCTGTGGGAGAAGTTTTATTTGCTGAATTAGAGCAGAATGAATAGCAGGGCAAAGGCAGAACACCCAGACTTTGAGAGGCAGGATAGAACTGTTGCAAGTTCTAATTTTCAAAGAGCAAAAGATGGTTTGTGAGAGTAGTGCCCGGATGTGCCTTACGCTGAGTAACTCATTGGAAAAATATCTCTACAAATGTATCAAAAGGACAATAATCACTCACCAATGCATTCAAATTCCTTGTATTCCCAATAGGCACCCCCCTCTGAGTGCCGACATCGAATTCCCAAGTACTGGCCTCTTCTCCTGTCATAGCCTTCATCACAGTCATAATAGAGTTTAGTGTCCAGTGGATACGATTCAGCAACAACATCCACAAAGTCAGTCCTTGGAAGAGCTGGGCATTCTTCTGCAAACAGAAGCCTGAAGGTCAGGACAGCCTGTGCATCTACCTTATTCACCAAGGACCCCCCCATCTTTCTGTCTTACCACTACAAAATCATGCACAGAGCTCAGTGAAGTATCTGGAACCTAATCCTGCTCCCAGTCACTGAGGGATTAACCTGGATGTCATCAAGGGATCATGAGTGTAGCAAAGCTTTGTTCCTTTGCGTATCTCTAAGCTAAGGAGAGGCTCTGAGTGTGGGCCCCTCAGTTCCAGAAGGACAGGGAACTGCTTGAAAGAGTCCAGGGCAGAGCCACAAAGATGATGGAGTGGAACATCTCCCTGATGAGGAAAGGCTGAGGGAGCTGGGTCTGTTGGTCTTGGAGAAGAGGGGACTGAGGGGTGACCTCATCAATGTTTAGAAATATGCTCAGGGCAGTGTCAGAAGGACAGAGCCAGGCTTTGTGCAGTGATGTCCAGTGATAGGACAAGAGGCAATGGGTGCAAACTGGAACACAGGAGGTTCCATGTGAATCTGTGAATCTGGAAGAACTTCTTTCCTGTGAGAGTGACAGAGCCCTGGGACAGGCTGCCCAGAGAGGCTGTGGAGTCTCCTTCTCTGGAGACATTCAAAACCTGCCTGGGCACGTTCCTGTGTGATGTGCTCTGGGTGATTCTACTCTGGCAGGGGGGTTGGACTGAATGATCTTTCCAGGTCCCTTCCAACCCCTAAGATTCTGTGATTCTGTGTTTCTGTCTTGTGGAAAAAAAAAAAAAAGTGAACATTTTTAATTTTAGTTTTAGAAAAGCCCTCCAAAGCCTTCTTCATATTGGAGTTAGTTGTTGCCTTTGATTTTCTAAATGTAGATTTATTCAGGATACAGCAAAATTCCTTGGGAATGTCTCCACAAAGTGACATGAAGCCTGTATTTGTTCAGGCTGTTTTAGTTAGGAGGGGATGATTTTACTCCCTTCTCATTCTTCTAGAGGAGAAAGGATGTTCTGCAGTACCATTGCTTCTTACATTAAGCTGTATAAAATCATATCATAGAACTGCTGCCTGCACCACTGAGGCATAATAAATAAAAATCAGCCATTAAAAGTGGCAATCACCTATAAGCAAACACTGGAAAGGGGAATAGACTCTCAGTTCTGCCTGAGCACAGCAAAGACCAACTTACTGTGAAAAAAAGTTTGCTAACCTAAATATAACTTGTCCCAAAACAAGGACGTGAAGTGCTATGTCCTCAGCAAATCATATCTAATTATACTTCTCAATCAGTCAGAATTAATTAAGTTAGATCATTTCAGTGCACTTGAAAAGCTCCCTGAAGCTGAGCTGGAGAACCATAAGTTGTTTAAGGCACTACTTAATGTATATTTAAGGATTAAAGGCTGGGAAAATCAAATACAAAACAGGTTGGTTGCATCAGGGCTGGCATTTGGGACCTTTGGGTACATGATTTGTGTCCCTTTATGCTTATGTATAATAGTAACTGCAATTATGAGTAAAATTTCTTAGTCTTTGTCTTTGTCTTCACATTTTCTGCAGCCATAATTAATGCAGCTTGAGCAACCAATAAGAATGACTGTGAAAGCATTTTGAATCCCTGACAGTTGTTCATCATTTGGCATCTGCCCTTTACTCCCAAAATGCCTTCTCCTTGAAACAAAGCCATGTCTTGCCAACAGCAACCCTATCAGTGACTCCCAAACCCACCCTGCAATGCTCTTTTCTTTCAGAGCCACCCATCATTTTCTTGCTTTGATATTTTCTCCCCTTTCTACTTTTCATTATCTTGCCACTTAGTAAAAGTCCCCAAGTTTGAGGAAGGCAACAATGGAAAGTTCTCTGAGCAGCTTAACAGCTAAGCTGTGTAAGGGATGTTTTAATCCCCTTGTGTCTTGGTGTTATCAAAGGGTTCTCCTTGTAAACTACATCAGGCTGTGGCTTCAAGAGAAGTGACTGTACCCGAAATAGTTAACCACATGGTTTACCACAGACTGTCAGGGTGATTAAAATTAAAGACTTATCAGATTAGCAGCAAGTTGAGATCATGTACTCTCACTTTCCCTGAAAGCTAGAAGCATGTTTCCCTTGAGACTTCAAAAGCCTCTTTGAAGCAGACTGCAGATCTGAATCTCAGCATGAGGCACTCAAACCTGCCATTCTTTTGTTTCTTCACAGCTTTTAGCCTACTCATCACAAAGGACAACTGTTGCTTTAATTGGTGATGGAATGAAGTTCTGGTTCTTCAAAACTTCCACAGGTCAGAGGATTGTGCAGAACCGGTGCACAGGAGTGGCAGCAAGTAATACCCATGAGGTCTGGATCATACTGCCTACACAGAATGACCTCTGGAGTGACTCATCCCTAGAAGTTCATTCAGTCCTTGTGCCCAAGGAAATGTATGGTTTGCTCCTAAAATCAGCATCCCTGCTCTCTGGGTGATAAAGGATTGAGGGGATAGGAAGGAGCCAGGAAACTAGGGAATGGCAGTGTACATTTACTCCTTGGCTAGATTTTTAGGGGAGATTAACTTTGCTTTTTTGCACCTGATTGGGGATTAGTCTGTCAATTTGTTTGAGTTGGTGTGATAGGAAAGTGTAAATCTTGTAAGAGGCCAGCAGATCCAGGTGTAACCCAGTACCCTCTGCTGGCCCAGTTTTACACAGCCCAGCTTTCCTCTGGATTCTGCATCCCTCCACTGCTACTCCAGGGCTATACTCCTGCTAGTATTACTTTACAAGACTGCAGACACATCACCTTCTCCTCTTGGGGTTTTGATTGCCTCCTTCCCACATCCTCCACTTTTCTGTTCCCATGACAAGGTGCTGTGTGTCTCTATTTCCTTCTCTTTCCATTCCAATGTCCTGTGTCCTTCCTTTCCTTCATTCACAAGCTTCATCAGCCCCTCCACCACCACTCTCATTTGCTGTACTCCAGCCGTGCCCTGTGATTCCATTTCTTTACACTTAGAGGCACAAACATGATGTATTGAAAATGGGCAAAACAGAAAGGTTGGTGTAGTTATATTCATGAGATTTAGCACTGCTAAATGGGTTGAGGAATTACTAGAATCCATCTCTCCCAAAGCAGCTAGGAATCTGCATTTTTCCCCATATTAGTGGATTTTTGGTGCCTACAACCTTTCTGGAAAATTTGGTACTTGCTTCATACATTATCATATAGTAGATGGAGATGTGCCCTTGGAATTAGAACAAAACTTGTGAATTCAGTTTACAGGCATCTGTGAAACATAAAAAATAATTCCTGCACCTTCTGGTGTGCTCCCAAAATTAAGTTTGATAAGATTTTTGAGACCTGCAAGCCAATCCTTGTAATCTCAGCCACAAGATAGGCGGGATTCATAGACTCATAGAATCTTAGAATGGTTTGGGTTGGAAAGGACCTTAAAGATTATCTAGTTCCAACCCCTCTGAATGTTCAGTTCTTTCAGTGCTTGGGTTTCTTCTTTGAGGATTCCCATTCAAATACATTATTGACCCAACACAAAACTGCTCACAGTAGGCGTGCTGGAAGTATTAGGATTTCTGAACCTTTCCTGCCTATTTCTTCTCCATGTCTGAGTTGGCAGAGCAGTGTTAAGACATGGCATCAGAGCACCTCTTATCCAGAAGAAGTGACAGGGGAAAGTTTCTAACAGGTATTTTTAATCTTATATAAACACCTACAGTGAGTCATGCCATGATAACCTAAACTCAGAATTTCCTCTGTCATGTGACCACGCGTCACTAGTTCTGACGTTATTCTGATGTCAAGCTAAGAAGGCAAGGTGCAAAAATAGGACAATTTCCCCCTAAGTACAAAGGCAGTGAGATGGAACCAGTAGGAAACCAGCTGTTCTGAAGATCTGGGTAGAAGAAGTAGAAGAAACCAGGGAGTTACACACCTGCCAAGCTCAGAGATGAAGAGAACCTCTCCCCAGAGATACCAAAACATGCCAAAAATGAAGATATTTCCCTAGATGTGCCTGAGAAGCTAATTCAGCCTTGGGGCTTTGTGTGCTGTCTGAAACGATGTATTCTCTAAATAGAGCACGATCTTGAAGATGAAAGTGATTTGAGTGGAGGGAAGGAATTGATACCAGCACCCGGACTGAAACGGTAATGAAACTTTTCTGACTTCAGAACTTATTCCCAAAAGGGCCATTAACAAGCCAGCTACAGTGCTCCTTGCTTCTTTTGCCACTAATTAATGTCATCTATTGTCTGTGTGGATTTGTAAGCTGGCAATAGATTCCAGATGTGGGGCTGGAGGGCAGAACTGAAGTTTAAGGTATTTTGCCTGTGAGATTTTTGTTCACTGTGCTGTAGATTACCCAGAGATTATCTTACAAAGTCATCTCAGTAGCAATGAGTCTGCAATTTAATTGACAGAAATACAGTGAAGATGGAATCACCAAGTGCAAGATTTCATGCAAATGGCAATGAAGGAGAGAACAGTCCTAAGAGGCAGGAGATGGGTTTTAATAGGCAGGAGATAGATTTTAATATTCCTAAAAGTGGAGAAGGGGCATGTCTTATTCTAAGTATTTGACAGTTCAATGCCTGCTCAGTTTTCTGTACTAGAAGATGTCTCTGTTGGAAAGTAAAATAAACTGGAGTATGAACCAGCAGGAGCTGTCCATGAACCCTTTGTAGGACCATGAGAAATTAGGTTTGTGAGAGATGCACTTCTCTTATCTCTTGGTTGAATCCTGCTAACCACCTGTTTGCCATTGACCTAGACAGTAGACTCTAATACCAAATGAATTTCCATATACAACAAGGCTAGAGTTGGTATGAGAGTGGACTAAGGTTTTTCATGCTAAAGCATAATTTAGCCTCAGGAATCTGCCTTCTTAGCTCCTTCTGTAAGAAGTGGAGCTGGGCAGCCATCTCAAGAAGACAGCAGACACCTAACTTCAGTTCTCCAAGCAATGTTTACAGATGTTTCTCTCTTTTTATTGTCTACAGTGGTGAAAGATCACTCTATATGCTCAAACCGATAATTACTGTGGTTTAGCTAATGCATTGGTATAATTTTGAAGCTCACTTTGCTGTGAGTTCCCAGAAAAGCAACCTGCAAAGTTGTTTTGTCTTCCACTGACACAGACGTTTCTTAACATCTGTCTCTCCTCTCCCTAAGCCCAACTATCCCCCTTCAGCCCCAATTTACTCCTGTTCTAAGGTATGGAGCAAATGTCACCCAGCTGCCAAAAAGCAGACATTTTAGTTCCCTGTGTAGTCACTAGAAAGAGGTTTACAGGAGATGACTCATTGCACCCTTATTTGCAACTTGGTGGATGAACAGTGTCTTGAAAGTGTCCTGTCTCACCCTTATCTGGCTATAATGGGGGTCCATGTGTCCAGCACAGTGGAGACACTGAGGGTGGAGATGGTTGAAATTAAGTAAGACTAATTTTATGCCTGTCCTGGCTGAGAGGCTGGGCTAGGATTGGAGGACTTGGACTGACAGCGTGGAATTGGAAGAGGGAGCATTAGGAAAGAGAAAGTGGTTCCTAAGGCAGGAAGAGAAAGGAAAAGTACCATAAGCACAATGCACTGCATAGAAAATGTGCAAAGTGGAGAATGGCGAACATTTGTTTTTCTTACTTTGTTGTTTCTGGGTGTTTATAACTTTCTTGTTTCCGTGGTAAAGCCACAGAGCTCAAACTCTTGAAAGGCAACCACTGCTCAGGGCATGGTAGCAGGACACAGTGTTTGGTTTTGAGAATATCCTACATGAAGCCTTGTTTTGGTTTGTGACATTTGGGTTTTGACCAAGCTTGGCTATATTTGTGCTTAAATCTGAGACTTCAATAACACCTACCTCTTCAGTATTTTATTCTAAAGGAAAAAAAAAATAGTACTAAGAATGAAAATTTACTTTTTAAACCTCAGCAGAAATCAAGATCCTTTTCTTAGACTGGAGCTTTATCAGCCTTGCCTGTTTTTGGGTTGGAAAGGCAGTAGAGAATAAGAATAGAGAATAAGAATAAGAATAGTAGAGAATAGAGAATTGGTGAAAATAATTGAACTGGTTGAGGAGGTTGTGTTCCAGTCTTGGGTAACAATGAAAAGGTATGGTTGGAATCTTGATTTTAAATGTGGCTTTAGGACTTATCTCACTTGACTTGCAGCCTTGACATGGTCATTAAGATTTTTGTTGGAAGCTCTCAAGAGTGGGATGGAAATTATTTATTAGCGTTGATGAATTTTCTGACCTTATGATGCACTAAATATTTTGCCGAAAAAGGGGGCTGTATATTCTTTATCTGGGGGCTTGGGCTTTGCAGATGGAGAATATGAAGAAAAAGCAGCAGATGGCAGAGTGCTGCTACCTTGGCAGGGCTGAAGAGCAGGCAGGCGAGTGAAGAAAGTCAGGGAAGGACCTTGGAAATAAGAATTTTAGGGAAGCTTTGAGGGAGATGGAGAAAAACATGGTAAATCAGGTTGTTCCAGGATTCAGGAACAGGGTCAGGAGTTGGAAACCATGGGTAGAACATATCCAAAAGATTATTTTGAAGATACAAATAATGGAACAGGAAAAATAGGAGAGACAGAAATGAACATTGATGCAGAAAGCATGGAGAGCACAACTTCAGCTATGAAGGCAACAGTAAGAAAAGTCAAAAGGCAGCAACTTTCTACCAGTAGGTAAAGAGTGGAGGGTTTGCTGTGATAAAAGGGAAGGATAAAACATCTCATCTCTGATAAGGTGGGGAGAATATTTTTTCATCTGAAGACAGAAGCAGATACTGCAGGATCTCTGTACACAACATCTGCTTTTCTTCAGCAGTTTTTTTTCACAATTTTAAGAATTTTATTTTGGGTTGGGTTTTTTTTGTAGCTTATGTTGGTCATTTTGCTGCCAGGGGTCCCTGTAGCTCAAAGGTTTCTGAAGGTATTTGCTCTCTGACTTTACAAGAAATACTTGTATATGTTTGACAAGTTTAATTTATTCTGCACTGTATTTCAAACCCATGGGAGTGAACACTAATATGCAAGTATAATGGTGAAAGAAATTCCTCTCATTTAAATGACTGAGCTGTGATACCCATCTTGTGTGAATGAGATTCAGTTGAATGAAATTCTTCCTTTTTTTGAATTTTACATCTTTCCAGGTTTAACTTTTAAATCTATTCAGTGTTTTCCTATAAGATGGATACCAAGATGCAAAGACTGTAGGAGCACAGACCAGCTTTTACCTTGTATTTACCTTCACCTTCAAGCTTCAACCATGCCTTAATCTTCTAGGCATTGCTGCTGTGCAGTTAAAACGAGATAAATGTGATGCTCTTTACAAGAAAATAGTAATTTTTCTTGTCTTATTTAGCACTAACCTGTAGCTTAATTTTTACTAAATGAATGACCATCCCATACCTGAGTTTCCCCAGATAAATATCAGAAGAATTTGCCCTTGCAAGGCGCTTTGAGATCCACCAGTGAAGCTGTTCTGTAAAAATAAGGCTTTTTATTGTTTTTTTTTCCCCTAATTATATTTATTCCTGATTGTGTATTTTTGCCAAAAACCCTTGTGCAAACATCTATGGCAGGATTTATTTACACAACTGAACCTGCAGTGCTGGGTTGAGTTGAAAGGACTAGGGAAAAGTAATACAGATAGCACTGTATGTACTGAGACATAGTTGATTTTTGACCAGTTTGACCTAGCCTTTTTCCTTTTTCTTTGCTTATGTCTGTTCCCAGGCCTTCTTTTTTAATCCTTCTGAGGAGTTAAATACAATAGGTCTTACAGCCACCCACAATACATTTCTACAGTAAAAGTAATGAATTGATAAAAGGTGATATATCTACCTTAGCATATCATTTGCAAGGAGAAAATAAAATACATATATATATTTAAACATGGGGAGAGACATTGAGAAGAAATACAGGAAACTGAGGCAAGAAGAGCTAAGTGACACAGTGAGGAATACAATGCTATGCAGTTACACATTCATTAGAGCATTAAATAACATCAAAAAGCATTAAACATGGCTGCTCTAACACCCCTCATTATTTAAAAAAAAACCAACAGAGAGATTTCTGATAAATGAGACTTGCCAGCAAGATATCTCACAACTTGTCACAGTAATACAGAAAGTCTGATATGGGGGACCTGACTCATCCCAGAACTGATCCTATTTATCTATGTCTGGCTGAATATCTCTCAGTGATGCTCTTGCAGGCAGCACTGAAACACTTGCCATGGGCACTTCATTGGGCAATCAAAATGACCTGTGAAGGAAAATGTACAGAGTTCGCTGGCAAAATAAGAAGAATTCAACAAGAATAAAATCACCTGGGAGTTAAATATTTGTGAAGGTACTGCCTGCACTAATGAGTTCAGTTCTAAGCTACACAATTTTCCCTCGAGGTGTTCTGCCCCTGGTACAATCTACAGCCCTGCTAGAGCTGGTGTATTGGCAGTCCCAGTGCCATCTGATCTGAGAACCTGCCTTAGGCTCTATCTGCTCACATCTCCCCACCTGGACATCATCAGCAGACACAGAAGAAAATGTCAAAATTATGGGGCACTGAGAATGTAAGACTTTTTTTCCTCTCTGAACTCAGCAGTTCACATTCAAATAGGATAATATATCATCAGATCATTTTTCAGTGAAGCCCAAAGTAAGCAGTGTCACCATTTATAAATGTCTGAAATTTTGCTGAATGAATTAGCTGCCTCTGTTCACATTTCATAGACACTACTTGTTGGGAGGTGTGGCTGCAAGAATACTTGGTGTTCATAGTATCCATAGTAAACTTGGATGGCACCTTTTAACTAATAGCCTTGCTATCCTTTTTACCTGCAGAGGTGCTGACATTTCAGTGTCTATTTTTATATTTCCTAAAGTCACATGTAAAATGGAAAAAAAACAAATTCAAAGAGCTACCTAAAGTGCACAAGGCTGCTTTGATCTGCCCACTGTGCCAGCAATGGGTCAGAGGATACATACATTAGTCAAGACAAAAAAATATCCTGTAGTGCTCTGGGTTGTCTGCAGTTGATGGGTTGTGGGAAGAAACCCCATTTCTCTCATTTCCTTAGAATCACAAATTCCTTAAGCTCTTAACACTTAACCTGAAAGGAGTCAGGATGTTGCAAACATCCTACAGCAGCAACCACAAAAAAAGCAAATACTCCTTTCCCTCCCCAAAAGCCAGAAATAGTCTTTTACCTGACTTGTTTCCCTTGATAGATCCAAACAAGAGCCACATCAAAAGGCACTTGTGCTCCATGGGACTTATTCACATCTTTTCTCTGCAACACTGAGGATGATGAAGATTCTCAGAAGTGGTGAACTGGTGCTGACCAAGCTGGTGAGCCGTCTCCTGCCTGGTTAGACTGGTGGGGAGTACCACCCTGCATGTGAGGCAAGGACTTTTCTTGTTTGTTGGCAAGTCATCATTTCACTGGCTGACTCCACGAGAGAGAAGAGAGTCTGCTCTCTGTTCACGTATTAGTAGCTTTTATCCAGGAAATCAAACTTCATGCTCAGCGCGGCGGAGCGTGTAGTCGTGTGTAGGAAGTGGTTTGACACATCAGAGCTACTGGCTTCAGAGCTGTTCCACTACAGCTAAGGTCAGTAGAAGTAGGTACGATTTTAATGGGGTTGTGCAGCCACTTGACCCCAAATCTGTGATTTGTCAGGCATTTGATTGGGACCATCACTGTAGGATAGTTATCCAGTGCATGACAGTGGAGCTCAGACAGCTCAGACACTACCTGTAGGCTCTACCCACAAAGAAAAGATCCCATGGGATATCATTTTGGCTTTTTGTCTGCTAATGATGAAAAGCCACACTCTGTTTAGTTTTTGAGGTATGCATGCCTGCAAGTTTCTCTTAGTGACAGCTGAAACAAACTTCTGAAGGATGGACTGTTTGGTCAAAAAAAAACCTGTAAGAGAGAGGCTGACAGGTTTGAAAAGGGTTTCTTTTGCTCCTAAGCTGTCTGTGTTTGCCATGCTATAGTGAAATAGGTTCTTCCAAATGTCGGTGGAAAACTGGAAATTATCAAGGAAGTTTTTCTACAGTCATTTTCACAACAATTTATCTTCAGGATCTAGAGAATTAGTTGGGATAGACTATGGAAAACCAGGTCTAAATTATCTGTGCTACTCTTATCATTATTATTACATGCTGGATATTTACTTCTCCTTTATAAACCCTTATTGAATGAGGTTCTCTTAACAGGCATGCTAAGAAATAGATGTAATACATTTTGAAGTGTCACTACAGCTGCACCCATTGGTCATAGCCAGAGACACAGAGGATGTTGTGTTAGTATCTCTGTTCCTCACTATCAGAGGCTCTCCTGTCCTGTGAAATGCAGCTGACACCAGGGAGCTTCTTTTGAGTGAGACCCGAACCAGACATTTTTTTTTTAGAAGGGCGAAAGAAGATGCAATATCCATGGGATGCTGCACAAATATGCATCTACTCCTCCAGCACGTTGAAAGGTGCAACCCAAACTCCAGGCAGTGCTCAGGAGGGCAGCAGACAGAAAAGGTGCTACAGTCCCATCTCCGACTTTCTCCTCATAAATTTTGCTTTGCCCTTTTCACAGAATCACAGAATTGTTAGAGTTGAGAGGGACCTCTAGAGATCGTCCAGCCCAATTCTTCCACTGAAGTAGGAAACCTGTAGCACTTTACACAGGAATGTATCCAGGTGGATTTCAAATATCTCCAGAGGTGGAGACTCCACACCCTCCCTGGGCAGCCTGTTCCAAGGCCTTGTCACTCTCATTACAAAGAAGTTTTTTCTTCTACTAAATGGAACTTTCTGTGTTCCAGCTCGTGCCTGTTGTCCCTCATTCTGACGCTGGGAACTACTGAAAAGAGGCTAGGTTCATCTTCCTTGCACCCACCCTTTAGATACTTGTATACATTGATAAGGTCTCCCACCAGCCTTCTCATCTCCAGGCTGAACAGCCCCAGCTCTCTCAGCCTTTCCTCAAAAGGGATATGCTCCAATCCCTCAGTCATCTTCATCACCCTCCTCTGGACTCTCTCCAGCAGTTCCCTGTCTCTCTTGAACTGGGGAGCCCAGAACTGGATGCAGTTCTCCAGCTGTGGCCTCACCAGGGCATAGTAGAGGGGGAGAATGACCTCCCTCGACCTACTGGCCACACTCTACTTTGTACAACCTAGGATTCCATTGGTCTTCTTGGCAGCAAGGGCACATTGCTGGTTCATGGATCACTTACTGCTTATCAGGACTCCAAGATCCTTCTCCTCTGAACTACCTTCCAGCAGGTCCACCCCTAACCTATATTGGTGCTTGGGGTTCTTCCTTCCCAGGTGCACTTGTTCTTATTGAACCTCATGAGGTTCTTCTGTGCCCAACTCTCCAGCCCATCCAGGTGACACCGAACAGCAGCACAGCCCTCTGGAATGTCAGCCACCCTTCCCAGTTTTATATGATCAGCAAACTCACTGAGGATACACTCTGTTCCCTTGTCCAGGTAATTGATGAACATGTTCAACAACACCAGACTGAGTATTGATCCCCTGGGTTTTTCATGAAAACTTTTGTGCTGCTTCTCTGATGCAGACGATGAATCCTTTTGGAGGGTCTGTTGGCAACGAGGCTTTGGCCAGGAGACTACTGCCTGAACTGAAGTGCAACAGGGCACAGAGAAGAAATAAGACTGAAGCAACTGCTGTGGGCAAGAAGTTTACTTACCCAGGGGCTGCTTCATGCTCCACAGATACTGACTGCCTTTGGTTTAGTATTATCTTTGATATTTGACAGCATAATAGGAAACACTCATGCCAAAGCCCACTGAAGGACTCTGAAAGTTTTGCTCTTTGAACATCTATCTGAAAATCAGAGAGCCCACTTCACCCTTTTCCAAGATACCTGGAGATAGGCACCTGCATATGCAGACCTGCAACCATCTGCGTGGGTAAAAAGTGTTTGTTACATTGCACTGAAAGAAATCCCAGACGATTTATCACAATTTGTTCTTCCCCTGCTAAAGATGTGATCTGTTCTTTGGAGATGGATGGATGGATTTAGTCCCAAACATCTCCTTGTATTTCTTGCCTGGTCAAACTATGTAATTTCATGACTATTAGCCTGATAGAGACAGGAGATGTGAGACTTTTTCTGCAGTCCTTCAGCTCAGTTTGCCTCTCTCAGCTATTCAGAATCCTGCCAGTTGTTTAATGACTGCAAACTCTGAGCAGAGGACAGCAGTGTGGACTGCAGAAGCAGATTCTCAATGAGTGGAATTTTTCCTTCGGCTGAAAAGAGGTGGTTTTGTTTTCAGCAGATGAACTGAGACATCCCCCCTCTTTCCTGCAGCCATTTGCTTTCAGGCAGCAGATCTCATTGTAAGTGAATAACAGCTGCTACGACTTATTAGAAATGGGGAAGTTTTTATCCTAGAAAGAACACAATGTGCAGCCAGTTGTGCTGGATGGAAAGGTGACCCCAGGTGGCTAATTGCTACAAGCACAGTTTGCATGAGAAAGACCCGCAACTCGGCAGTTAGAACTTTTAAAGGTCAAGGGAAATAAAAAATAAAAAATAAAAGGCAAGCGGTACTGCTTGTGAGAGCAATTAATTAAGTCAGCTTTGTGAAATAGGTCAGCCTGGTGAGCGATTCCAGGAAAAAAAAAAGCTGCCTCTGCAAGCAACTTGACCCAAAGCAGAAGGAGAGAAGGGGAGTGTGAGAGCAGACAGACACAGCCAGGGGGAAAGTTACCTAGGCACAGGAAAAACAGGGGTTTTAGAGAGAAAAAAAACCACATAATTGGTGTTATAATTTAGATTGTTAACATTAGATGTTAGCAACAGAGGTGTATGGCAATAAAGGAGGGGAAGTGCTGTGAAAACTCAGGGGAAACCTGGAAAGTGATGGAGGGGAACAGGAACACCTTGAGCATCTGGGAAAACATAGGGGGAAAAGAAGGAGCTGGTTTCTCTGCTGCTTTTTGACTTTACCCTGTTGATCACCAGACTTTTGCTGCTCAGAGAAGTATTCTCTTTCAACAGAGAAAAGGGAGGAAAACAGGTGATCACATGGCCCATGTCACCACAGACAAGATTCTGAAGATTATTTTTATACAACACCACAAGACCAAGATAAACGCAGAAGTGGAGTTTCCAGAGAACAAAGCACAAACACAGCTCCAGCCTTCTTTAGGTCTACGTTAACAAGGGCTTTTTCAAATCTTGAAAGTGCTTTTGAAAATGCTCAAAATCCTTTGGTCTGGAGGTCTAAGCAGTGGAGGGTGCAAGCAGATTTTACTGTGTATCTGGTACAGTTTTATCTGATGGAAAAAAGCAGAATCAATCAGAAGCTGAGGAGAAAAAAAAAATCCATAGATGCCTGTATCAAGATCTTCTGAGACTTGGGAGACCCAACCCCTTTAAGTTATCTTCTCAAATAAAGCAAAATGGTGTTAAATTTTCAATTGGGCATTGTTTGTTTTGTAAATCCAATGAAGCTGCAAGCAAAAACAAGGTAGGTTAAAGACAGGAGAGCAGTCTGATGTTATTGCAACCCTGCCCACTTCAAATCAGTGGTAAACATGCACATAACTCACTAAAATAAGCAAGCTTTGTGTTTTCTTTCCTTAGTTCAACTTTTCTGCTGGGAGTCACTCTTAAATGAGCCCTCCATTTAAGGTGGTACCATATGGCCTTTGTCTAATAGCTAACTAAACACTGTTAATCAGTATATAGCTCAGATGTCCTTGAAATTATGGTAATCATGGCTGTAAACTCACTTTATTTTTTTCTACTTGGGAGAAAATGTATTGAGAATTTCACCTTAGGCATGGGATACAGTGCTGCTCTGTACTGAGCAGCTGAATCTCAAATAGCAAAGTTTTGCACTTAGCTGGGCTATTAATGGTTTTCTTTACAGATTACTTAGATACTAGAATCATTGAATCATCCTGGTTGGAAGGGACCTTGAAGATCATCAAGTCCAACCATAACCTAAATCCCCCTCCCATAACCTGATTTACACATTCAGTGTTTTACTCATGTCACTAAGCACTATATCTACATTTCTTTTAAATACTTGCAGGGATGGTGCCTCCACCACCTCCCTGGGCAGCCTGTTCCACTGTCCAAACATTCTTTTGGTAAAGAAATTCTTCCTAATATCAAGTCTAAACCTCCTCTGGTACAGCTTCAGGCCATTTCCTCTCATCCTGTCATTATTCACTTAAGAGAAGAGGCCAACTCCCACCTCCCTACAACCTCCTTTCAGGTAG